AAAAAAAAAAAATTTCTTTTCATTTTTCATATACGGAGATGCTAGTTAGTATCGTTACGTATCAATGATAGTGGTAAATAAATTTATATTAGTTCGTAATTCCTTCGTTTCGTTTAAAATTTAAGTACTGCAACTGCGCAAACCGACTTGTAGGAAAAAATGAATGTAAGTATTTTGTTAAAAGAATTTGTGAAGAAATTGTATCTGTAACTGAAACAAAGAAAAAGAAAAAAAAAAAAAAGATATTAATCCCGCATTAAGTATGCATCATTTTTGAAGATTTGATTCTAATATCATCGACGTTACGAACCTAACCTAAAGTAGTGATGGGAATAACACCCTCGCAAACACTGTTCAAACAAATCAAAGCGAGTATTTATGGTTCAAAGTATTTTTGATAACATTGATTAGAATAAACTTTTTATCAAGACTTGGAAGTATGTATGTAATTATCACATTTACTTGAACTTTTACATGAATCCCATTAACCCTGCAACAAAGTAATAACATTATTCACTTTCAGATCCTTTCCACTGTAACATTTACTGAATCTAAATTGTTCTTATCCATGACGATCCATCGATGAAATTACAATACAAATGGCAGTATTTAATGCGAACGTAATGATTAATAATAAATTTCTATACAATCACAAGTAAGATCTCTAATATCCATTACGTCTTATTTGATATATATATATATATATATATATATATATATATATATATATTTCAGTTCAATTTTTTTTCTCCCGAGATGTTCCAACAGGATTCTAATTCATACTGTAAGTCATTAAACGGACTAAAACGATTAACTGTTATCGATCGAATTTTATCGAACGATAAACGAAGCGGTCACACTACTAACCTAAACGGTTTCTCTCCAGAGTGCGTTCTAAGATGCGTTTTGAGGGTGCTGGGCCGCGCATACGACTTGCCGCAAATTCTGCAAAGGTTAGGTCTTCCATTGTCGTCGGGTGTGACTGGGTTGCCAGTGGCGCCTACACACAGAGCATGCTCACTGGACAATTGCAGCCTGGAATGGCCGTGCGTTGAGGGATGAGAATGAGGATGGGTACTGGTGCCGATCAGGCTATTGGCCGGGGGTTGATTCACCCTTGCCTGCTGCTCCACGGGATTATATTGCTGGGCGGGACTTAACAGGGGTTCCACGCCCCACGCTGACGAATAGCTTTGCTCGTACCTACGCATACAACCATGAACCTCTGAATAACTTCGCTTTTACACCCTCTTAGATGCGCACCCTCTTTCCCGACCAAAATGGTGAGAGGCTGTCTCGCTTTCAAAATTTCTTCGGGAAACATTAAACGAGTTGCTTTGCCTGAATATGTCTCGAAATGGCAAGATAAAATTATAATTATTTTCGAAAAGTTATTAGTAATTATTGGAAATAATCGGTTGCTTGGTAAGTGATCTTAAGGGTAATTAAGGTACTCCATTCTTGTTATGTAGGAATTTTTGAAGTATTTAGGTAATAACGCGAATTGCGTAATATTGTATAAATGAAATATTTAATTAGGACATAGAGTATTAGGATAGCGTTTTTATTCCTTCTATTTCTTTTAC